AACATGCGCGTGCTGTAAACCACAATAGCAGGAATAAACAGCAGGACAGTCCTTCCCCCCCCCCCCAACACACACACACAAAACAACTATCCTCACGTACCTTGAGTGCGGAGCGTTTCAAATACTATTCACCTTGGCCATCAGTATTAAAAAGATAACAAAATAACCGTATTGTACATGTGGACAGGGTCTTAGAGACTGTCTTCAAACTATCATGATAAAATGTCTGCGATGGACAGGCGACGTGTCCAGGGTGTAATCCTGCCTCTCACACTGGACAAGTGGTCGACCCCTGTGACCCCAAAAGGGAATAATTGGAGAATAAATGATAAAGCGTATGTGTGAAGAGATACAATGAAGTTTTCATGGTTTATTACATGTCAGATGTGTTTCAAATGCACACAGTTCTGAGAGCTCTGTCTTTGATCCTTTAGGTCGTGTTCCATCAGAACAATGGAGGCCTCAGGTTGGGGTGAGCCTCCAGATCCCGTTAGCCATGCATATGAGGTAACCATCCCAGAAAAATCCACACCTACTCTCAGCTATCCATTTGCAGATGTGGCTCTCCTGCAGAGCTTCAAGTCCCTCTTCATTCCCTGCTATACCCTGATTGCCCTGTTGGGTGTTTCCGGAAACTCCCTGCTCATCTATGTAATCTGCCGCTCCAGGAAGATGCATAATGTCACTAACTTCTTCATCGGCAGCCTGGCCTTCTCAGACATGCTGATGTGTGTCACCTGCGTGCCCTTCACACTGGCATATGCCTTCAACCCACAGGGATGGGCATTCGGGCGCATCATGTGCTACCTTGTGTTCCTGATCCAGCCTGTAACAGTGTATGTGTCTGTTTTCACCTTCACTGCGATCGCAGTAGACCGGTGAGTGTTATTATACGAACCAGAACACTGATGTTTCTAAATCAATATTTCTACTTTTTCTATTTTTACCATTTAAGTGACTTAGAGTTGAACCAGGAGCAATTCTAGGATCAAAGCAGTTGGGGGGTGCTCAGTGCTATGTTTCGTGTAAGTGGTGAATCAGTCACAAATGAGTTTCCCATGTTCGATTTTCTTGGGACTGACAAATAGTGAAGCTTTCTTTTAAACGTTGCTGCAACATATTACAGAGACTTCTCTCTTATTGAATGTTGTGTAAAATTGTGTAAATCGGATCATGAGTGAGACAGAGTTCCATTCACATATGCGTAAGTTTATTGAGTCTGCAAGCCACATTAAATACCAATTTATACTTCTGGGTCAACTGCCAACATAAGGCATTAAAAAGCTATTACTCTTTAAAGTGCACAACATAATCCAATGATTCAGAGAATCCTGAACTATTCACACCCTCCACACCCTATGGAAAGACATTCTTGTTTGAGTTCCATGGTGTCACTACTGCGAACCTCCACATCCTCACCATTTAGCACCCTCCAGGACAACAACTCTGAATTCATTGAGGAATTGGACGGTCTACTTTCATCTTTTCCAGACAAGGAATCCAACCTACAAATTTTTGGGGAACAAGCCTTATGCCAGAGACTTCCGTTCCCTCATGGCCTCCTTCAACCTGGATCTCAAGACTACTACTGCAACACACAAGTCAGGAAACCACTTGGACCTCATCTACACACGAAACTGCTCCCCACATCAAGTCAAGGTGACACTGCTGCACACTTCTGACCACTTCAACACTGCCCATCCGATATGTCTACATTCTTCATGGCTGTCTCTTTCTCACCTCCGACTCTCTCACAGCTCTCTTCACTCAACATAAATGATTCCACTGACAAGTTACCTTAATGTCTCGACAAGGTCTACCCAGTCACCACCTCTTCCAATACCTGGCTATCAAGTGTTCTCAGGGATCAAAGGACCACCCTTCGGTCTGCAGAGCGGAAATGGTGTAAATCAAAGAACAAAACAGACCTAACTACTTACCAGACTTCACTTGCGTCATTTTCAAGCAGAGTACACAATGCCAAGTGCACATACTATCATGACAAAATCAAAAACTCTAAAGATAGTCCCTCCCAAACCCAAAGCTGCCGCCTCTCTCAAAGCTGATGAATTTGCTGAGCACCCAGAAGACTCTCACCATCAGCAGTCAGTTGTGTCAGCAGAGATTTGTGTTGGGCTCAACTGACTCTTCTCTTGGTTGGCCTGTAACCCTAACTTGCTGAAGTGCCGAAAAACCTTGTTTTGATACCAGATGAACTGAGCGAAGGAAAGAACCAGCCATTCGTCGAGGTAGCCCAGGATTTGGACTCAGTGGGTGCAACTTCCTTTGAAGAGTGTTTAGGGTACAAGGACAAGCCAAAAGGCAGGACAGTAGGCGTGACCCTTGAAAAAGACCTGGAGGAAGGGTCAGTGGACCGACACATGGTATGGCATTATGGAACGTGCGCATCCTGAACTGGTACTTGGCCAGGTACCATTTCAGAGTTCATGATTGGTCTTCTTGGGGGCTAGCGGTAAAACCGTTTTCAGGGACTCAGCTTCTCTCGACCCTGGGAAATGGTTGACGTGATGTGGGGAGGCCCATCCAGGGCTTTGACCAATGTCAACTTGGCCTGGGGAGTGGCTAACACGCATGCCTCAAACCCTGTAATCCAGTGGAATAGAAATTTGCAGTTTTACAAATGGAATGGGTACGATTGCTCTTCTTGCTCAAACAGATTTGACAAGCCAATAATGTTACAGAGAATATTAAATCACTACTTTCCCCAGACAGATGCACAGATGATGCAGGAGCAGACAAGGCAAATGGTTTTTCTGCAACAATCGCATTTGGTCTGAATGTCACATAACTAAGCTTCCCACAAGCTGTTGAGTTAATTCCTCAGAAAGGTTTTCGATCATGTTGAGGTCAGGACTCCCTCCCTCCACCCCTCCCTTGTTCCCATAATTTTGGAATGACACCATTTCAAACTGTTTGGAGCCTTCAGAGTGACTTTCCCTGCAATTATTTTTTTGGGTAGTATGGTAATGTCCATGGTCTTAAACACATAAAAAAATGGAAAACACAAATTCCCTATGGAGTCCATTTCTGGATTTTTCTTGACAACAAACTAGCGAATAATATCAACATCAAACAAGACTGTAAACAGAACAAAAAAAACTCAACATAAATCCTAGATGATAAAAAGTGATGTTTGTTTTAGCTGTAAAGGAAGTAAATTGTGGGCCAATTTTTTACTGTGTAACTCGTCGTGTGTTGACAGGTACTATGCCATGGTGCATCCTTTGAAGAACCGGATCTCAATTGCGGCCTGTGTTTGTATGCTTTCTGGCATCTGGCTTCTCTCCTGTGTCCTGGTGGCTCCAGCTGTGGCACACACTTACCATGTGGAGTTTACAGATGAAGGTTTGACCATCTGCGAGGAGTTCTGGCTGGGTCAGGAGATGCAGAGACTAGTCTACGCGTACGGCACCCTTTTGCTCACCTACATCCTCCCATTATCTGCAGTCTGTGTCTCATATCTTTGCATCTCTGTGAAACTGCGGAAAAGTGTGGCACCCGGGCATCGTACACGAGATCAAGCAGAAGCCCAGCGAGCCAAAAAGATAAAAATCTTCAGGCTGGTTTCCTTCGTGGTTGCAGCATTTGGAGTATGCTGGCTGCCAATCCACATATTTAATGTTCTCCGTGATATTGACATCCACTTGATCAACAAGCGCTACTTCCTCTTGATCCAACTGTTATGCCATATGTGTGCTATGAGCTCGTCCTGCTGTAACCCTTTTCTATACGCATGGCTTCATGATCGTTTCCGGGCAGAGCTGCGTAAGATGTTCACCTGCCACCACCGCAATGTTGTTCCTCGTGCTTAAGGTAAATTGCTCTATTCCAGGGGTCGCCAACCTGGTGCCCGCGGGCATCGCGTCGCCCGCAGTGACCATAGTAGTCGCCCGCAAGCCAGTTCTAAAAATAGAACTATCACTGTCTAAAATTTTATTAAATTGTGTTGCCCTTCTTTTTGAATTGCATTTACAGTGATGTAAATTAAAAACAAAACGTATAAAAAAATATAAAAACCTTTTAAAAAATCATAAAGTAGCAGAGTTCGCTAATAGGAGAATAAGGCAGAGGTCAGTCTAGTGCGCATGACAAACTTAGCCTTGGTCTTCGAAGACGAGGATACGAAAGCGGTTTCTACCTACATAAAAATTGCGGAAAAAAGGAAGCAAACGTATTATTTTAATAGAGAATGGGAGGAAGAATTCTTTTTTACTAATGTGAAAGAAAAGTGTGTGTGTGTCTCATTTGCGGTGCGACTGTGGCGACGGCAAAGCGACATAACGTTGAGAGACACTTCAGCACTTGTCACAAAAGCTACGATGCTAACTACGCACCCGGCAGCGCTCTACGAAAAGAAAAAGCTTGCGAGTTAAAGGCAGCTTTGGCCAAACAGCAGTCTTTTTTTTACAACGCCGGTGAAAAACTCTCGATAAGCAACTGAAGAGTTGCAGTATCAACAGATACAGTACTCTGGTGAAGAGCATGCAATGCCAGGCTTCCCACTAACACGCAAAGAAACAATTGACAGACGCCAGTCAAATGTCAGTGCCATGGCAAAGATAGAATGATATAAATGAATGATAAACTGTAACAGTTGTGTTACTAAGTTTAACAGACATGATTTGTTTTAATGGCTGCAAATGTAGTGATTAGTAAAAATGTGTTAAGATTTATTCTAAAATTAATAGATTTTTGTTAAATCTTAGATTATTGATTATTTGTACAAACATGGTGCAGAGTTCATTATTTGATAAAAACTGAAACCGTCTTGAAAAATTGGACGTGATTTCCTGCAAAATGTTGTGGAAGTTATCATTTGAAAATTGGAAAGGTAAATAAGAAATAAAATATTGCATGTTTAAGTTTATCTGTTTCCTACCTTGTTGAATGATTCTGAATCTTTATTGATAAATTATTAATCATTAACAATCAGCGTCCTCAGGTGGAATGTCATTAATATAAAATTAAAGGTGAACTGCTTTCCTGTGGCTCAGTTGGTAGAGCGTTGCGCTAACAGCGCAAAGGTTGTGGGTTCAAAGCAAGAACTGACAGAAAATATATGTTCATTCAAATGTAAGTCGCTTTGGATAAAAGCGTCTGCCAAATGCATAAATGTAATGTAATGTAATTGTGCAACTTTCTGATTTCAGGACTGTGTTATCAAATTGGTAGCCCTTTCATTACTCAGTGCCCTTGAAGTAGCTCTCAGCTTCAAAAAGGTTGGCGACCCCTGCTCTATTCCACCCCCCCCCCCTTCACAGCCTGATTTATGCAAGTGGCAAGGAGTGAGTGCAAAATTCCTCACACCATCCCCACTCATTGATGATGCAATAGGTGCATTGTGTGGCCCCACTCCATGACCCTGTCGACCATTAGTCCCCAACATTTTTCACACCACAAACCAGTACTCAGGAAATGCTCCAGCGGATATTTTTGTTTGTTGTACAACAAAACTAAACTAAGTGTTTTCTGCCAAGTCATTTGTTATGCTAAATTCCATTTGGCTACATTAGATTATTTTTGTGTATGTGGTGTTTCCATGTTCATTCAAGAATACCTTTCAGTGAAATTTACATATGCAAATGGAATATTCCTCACCCAAAGACTTTATTATAAGGAATGTAAATAGAGATGACTGGCATGCTTTGCCCAGAAGTTGATTGGGCAGATGTGTGCCAAACTATGGAGCAGATGTGATGAAAGTGGGAATGTTTTGTGTCTGAATCACAACTTTGGAAAGAGGTATGGGCTGCTGGTGAGATATCAGGGGGCGTGGCAGAAGCTTCCCAGAGCTTTCAGTGTCGTCATGACAATCCGGTGGGATAATAGGGCAATTCCAGTTACAGTAACTAACAGTCCTGAGAGGAGTTAGTCACCCTTTAGGCCAATGTGTGAAAGAGCTGAATACCATTTCTGCTATTTCTGGTTCTAGCATTGACTGTGTTCTACACTCTATATTATCCAAAAGCTAGAAACTATGTGTTACTTCACACTAACTTCTTTTAATCAGGCACAATGATAGAAATGCAATGTTTACAGTTAAAACGTCTGCAGTACAAAATTCATTTAGTTGTTGCAAACGTAATCTTGCCTTGTGTAAAATTGAAAATCCTTGTTAGAGGCAACTCTACAATCCACTACTGTGCTGTAACTTTTATAACTGCTTCTTCAGCCTTATGGGAGAGATTGTCACCTTTGGTACAAATCATGTCTCATGTTCAGGAATGTTGCAGTATTCATTATGCTCCATTGATTCTTCTCACACTTAGGCACTGCACTGGTGTTGTGCCGGAAGAAAACACCCCTGCTATCATTCACTGGCAAATGTTAAATGCACTGGCCATCTAAGGAGGCAAATGATTTGAAAAAAAAAATATTTTTAATTAATGTCTTCATTGCATTCTTATGGTCCCCCTTAAATTGTGTAACCAAACTATTTCCACAGACTGAACACAGTGCACGACCCAGAATCAAACCATGGCAGCTATTCCTTCATAGCTCGAATAACGGTCGAGAATAAGTAAAAAAAAAAACGCCTTAAAAAGTGTCCTTGGATGTTTTATTTCTGTGTCATCAGTTCTCTGCAGCAAATATACATATATATTTTATTTCAACGTTGCCTAAACTCTTTTCAACAGTTTAGCTGAACGTAACAGGAGGGTGAATAAAAGACAAGTGAAAAAAAGGTTAATAATTTATTCAGTTTATGCAATGTATACGTAATGTATACAAGTACTTGAAATGGTAATTACCAAATGATTGAATAACTATAAACGAAATAATCATAAACAACACAAGTGTCAAATGGTTTCTCACATCCTGATCCTTCTGGTAAGCAAGCCCCCTAGCCCCCCATTAGTTAACCATTCTTATTCTTTTCAAATATTTCAACACTGTTAGGATTTGAGGTCACAAAAATAAACAGTTCATTCAGTGGAAAGTTTTCTTAAAGACAAAAAGTGATCAACCATTTATCTGCATGATAAGAAACTTAACATAACCGGCAAAAGAAGAAAATGGACCAATTAAAGAGGTTTTGAGAGTTTTCTCTCACAAAACGAACCCCAATTTAGCTGGCAGTGTTTTAAACGAGTTCAAGCAGTCTTCTTCAAGCTCATCAGGATGCTGGGGTTTTCCTCCATGACACGCACCAACAAGTCATCAATGTACTGCTCCAGCTCCACAATCTTGGAATCCTTCTGTGACAGCTGCTTTTTCTGCTTCTCGATCAGGCTGATGAGCTCAGCATGCGTCAGCTGAGAGAACGTCCCCTAGGAAAGCGAGACAATCACACACATGAATATCTCGCTCTTTGACCTGGTTGTTCTGATCGAGCTGAACAATACCTCTGACAAGCGGAGCACATCATCTGTCACATCAGGGAGCGTTCTGGAAAAGCCTTGGGTTTCTGACGGGGTTTCAGAGCTGTTCAGGGGTTTCACTGCGTGGGGCCTGGCAAAATGGCAGAATTTTACAAAAAAAGCAGACAAAGTAATCTCTATTCAAACCCACGCATGGTTTTTATTTAGCACAAAGAACAACATCTGCAACCTTCCATCATCAGAATGTCACTTTTAATGACTGTCTGCCTGTCGCTCTGGTCACTCTCTAAACCTCAGAAAATGACGTTAGCAAAACTCTATTTGAATTTCCCCAAAATAAAAGCCTTCTAAAAACACACAATGAATTTCCAAGGTCCAGAAACAAGAGTCATATCCTCAATGTTTAAGCAATTTACAATATAGCCAGTTTCATACAGATGCCAAGCTGATTAAGATACAAATAATAATAATCAAACATAAAATATGCAATTCAACCAGTGGTGTCGGCTGGTCTGGGCATCTGGAGCTTTAGCCCCGAACATTTTTCATTAGCCCCGAGTAATTCAACGTCATAAAAAAGTGTAGATTAACGAGCCACTAAAATGACTCGATTATGCTAAGATCAATCATAGAGGGGTGTGTGGAGCCTCGGCTGTTATAGATCTTATTCAGCCGCTGTCATTTTGAATCGAGGCTGTGAGGAACAGCGGATCTTTAGCGTTCACTGAAGTGTGCTGTGCATGTAGTTAATTTAGCCGACGAAAGGATGAGAACATAAGTTTCAACATAAGAAATGTCGGACAACATAAGAAAACCGCAAGTTTGTCTTCATTAAGATGATCATTTACGACCAAAACTAAAATATATTTTCTTGATTTGGTGTAGATTACAAAGAACAAGAGTATTTTGTAGCATTTTTATTCTGGGATGTTTTTTTTTAAATACAGACTGCAATCCGAAAGCTAAAGGACTTCACAGACCGAAGAAAGGAAAGAAAGAAAAAGTAAGAAAATTGTTGAGGAGTTGTTAAATAGAATAGAATAAATAGAATCTAGCTAGGTACTAACTTTCTAAGTGCCTTGCAGACTTTCACGATTGTTTCACCGGTTTCCTATGTAATGTGTGAGGAAATTATCAATTTCTCAATTGTGTTCAGAGCACTGTTTTATTCTTTAATAAAATCAGGAGGTTAAAACTGAACATAATGAAGATGAAATTGCTTATGTTAGTGGTTTGCTAACGGATTACCAGTTTATTAAATAGTCTTACCTGAAATTTAGGTCCAAAGTCCCGTCGAATTTCAACAATCCACATTTTTCTAAATTCTGTGACGTCCGGAAACGTACGACTTAACGACACAACAATATTCCGCTGTGCCTCACAGCCTCGTCTTCGATTCAAAGCTGGGCAATAAGGTCTAAAAAAACTTCATTTATTTATTTATTTTTACAAAAAAATAGATTTAGAATTTAAATGAAAAAAAATTCACGAAACGGGGCAGTGTTTGCAAATTACGTTACAGATAAAACGATTTTCATTTATTGCCTTAAAATGTTTGCTTCAGAGATGCTTTGAGAGGAAAGCAGAAACAATGGGCATTAGACAGTTTTTCAACTAAATGAAGCCGACTCAGCCAAAGCTCAGGTTTACAGGGAAGTTAATTATTCATTGAAATAATTTTTTTTTTGTGTTGTTTGTGTCACGAGTAAAGTTGTGAAAGTGCTACCCGGTGAGTCGTTATCTCCATCTTTTATTGAATTAACCCAATTAACCCTAACCCTAACCCAAAACAAGTACAGTCCAAACTGTAGTCATCAATAAAATAAGACTTTGTTTTATTTGTTGAGTTCAAGCGACACGACAAAAAATAAAAGAAAAATAATTTCACCAGTTCACCACAAAATCTCCACTGGGAAGGTGATTTCACCCAGCAGCAAGACTAGGAAAAGTTTGACAAATAATGAGAAAAATCTTTTATAATTTGCTTTCATAGCAGGGCAAATAATACAGACGTGGCCACTGACACAATAGGAGCAAACATGTAGAAAGTTGCAGGTAGAGCTTGTACAGCACCTAAAATTAAACAGAGCACAGAGTAAAAAGTAATTGGACCCTCAGGGTGGTCCTGTGAACCTCCTAAAGGGCGCTGATCGACCATCTGAGCGCTGGAGAAGAGAGGGTGAGGGAACAAGAAGTGGCAGTTTGTGAAAGTGCTCTACACGCTGCACAGGAGATATCATCCGGACCGTTATCATGCCATGCCTACACAAGAAAACACATGAGCGTCACAGCAAAGGCTCTGAATCACAATCGTGCCAGTCTGCGAACCTTATGGTTACACAAGGCCTCTGTGAATCTCTTCCTGAAATGAACTTTGTGTTGTCATGTAAAACTCCTCAAGTCAGTATTGGGGATCCAAGCGATGGATTAAGAGATTAGAGTTAGGTCTCTGATGTGGGGGAGAATTAAAGCCCATTTTCAGAGTGGATTTGAGTGCTTTGTAAAGGTGGCACTTTAAACAGTGTTTCCACGACTATTTTGTCAACGGGGAACACGTCTGGTTCTTGCGTTGTGTGTCTTGGCCACAGCCTTGTGATCTTGTGACTAAAGGCCTCTACACGCTGATCCAAATTGAGATTCACACAAATCTTCGGATGCTTCGCAGCAGGGTGCTTGGTCTGGGTTGAGAAAATATTGATGCAATTACGCTCGCTCTTTGCCTGAAGATGGTGTTT